TTTTTTTTTTTGGACTATCCCTTTCAACTTTTTCTAGTTTTTACAGGAGCGAAACATTGTCAGACTTTGAAATTTGTGTTTTAGCTCACATATTTCTTAAAAATAATGATAGAATTAATCGTACAACTATACATTTTTTGGTCGAGTTTTGTTAGTTCGTTTATATTGGACGTTCAAGCTCATTTAACCGAACAACTTCTTTAAAGTGTATTTAAGTCTGCTGAGGTGCGGTTGGTGGAAAAAGCGATTGAGGGCTTAAAACAACGGTTGGTTTCTGTTAACAGCGAAGTAGCGGGAGGCAGCAGCCGCTATTCTGTTTGTAGGTAGTGTTTGGCATCCTATTTTCACGAGATTTTCTCTTTATCTTAAGTTGTGTATACCTTTGTTTTATGGTGACGACACAGACATAATATGTATTTTCTTTATGGCTAAATTTTCAACTGTTTTAAAGGCTGGATATCTTGGTGATGTGTGGTGATATGTTCCACTACAATTATGTTCTTTAGGCAGCGTCAGAAAGAGCTCTCGTATAGACTTTTACGTTGCTTGACTATGCAAACACTTGTACAGAGATACAGCGTTGCTGTTGACGTTAGGGAAGAGAAGTTAGAGTCACGGTTGGAAGCTTTGAATGCTGCGTTAGTTGCACCAAATCAGATAAAGGTAATTTTTGTTTCTGTGATGGTTTTTTTGTGATATTACCAGACCATTGTCAGTGATGGTTTTTTTGTGGTATTACCAGACCATTGTCAGTGATGGTTTTTTTGTGATATTACCAGACCATTGTTAAGCACCGTTTCCAACTTCACAGTTTTATAATTTTCTTGCAGAATCGAATTGCTAATTTACTGGTCTTTCTGCGTACGAACAGCGAGCTTCTAAAAACATGGCGAGAGCCCACGATATCCTTAAAAGATGATGAAGCGGCCCAGATAAAAAAGTAATGCTCATGGGGTTTACATGAATTAATCATCACGTTTGATTGGTGCTTAATATGTTAGATTTCCAGATATCTGTCGAGATGCCAACAAGCTTTGGAGGCCATTGTGTCTGTTGTAAATAGCAACTTAGAAGATTTGAAGCTAATGGGTGCTCAGTTTTGATCTCGATATTTGTTTTGCTTTTGTTGTGTTAATTTGTCTGCCAAGCTGCTTCTCTTTTTGTCAGTGTTGTGCTAAATAGTCATCAGAAGTTTGACCTCTTTGGTTTTTCAAAGAAATAAACATTCAAAATTAAATTCGATATTGCCTCTCAAATAAACTGTTTTTGTTTGGGGAAGAGCAAGAAATAAAACATTTGATTTGGTGAACATTTAATGAAATGGTGTGTGCTTACAGTTGGTCAGACTTGGTCACATCATTTACTTCAATCATAGAGTCTCTCCTGGCTGTTGTTGCCAGTAGTTGGAGGCAGAATTCTTAGAACTCGATGTGCGCGCTAGTTTGTTCTGCGTTATTCTGATTCTGTTCGCTCGTCAACGAATGGGTGTCTTTGTTCTCTTTCAGACTTTGGCGACGGAAGACGTGGTAGGCAGTTTTTAGGAGGAAGAGCTTTTAGGTTTTACGGAATGGGGGACAAAAGTTTGAAAAGGAAAAGGAGGCGCAATTACTCTTCAGGCAGCGGTTCATCGGAAAGTGACAGTGACGTTGAGGCGGCGGCCAGGTGATGTTTAGTGCTGTTTAGTCAAACAGTATAGTCTTTAAATTTAAATTTAATTTTTGGGTTTTAGTAAGGCAGATTTATCAGAATACATTGTGCGTGTGGATGATGAGGGTAACGTTACCCGTGTAAAAAGAGGAGAAAAGCTAACTTTTGATGGCGCACTTTCAACTACCCGGAAGGAGGAAGATGAGGTGCAGAAGTCGTATAAGGTTCTTGGCGAAGAGACCTTTGTTGATCTGAAAAAACTTTCGTATGCTTATATTTTAACTAGTGGCATTTATGAATTTCCTAATGGGCTTAAGAGTTCTTCCCTTGTTATTTCAAATTTTTTCTTGATTAGTTTTTCTTGAGGACAATTTTAGAGTCACTTCTAAATGGGTTGCAGCAGGGGCTACGTTTCCTGCTGACCTGACCGACGAGAATTTAGTTGAATTGGACGAAGTTTCTGGTCTGCATCCTTTACTGCGTGAAGCAGTGAGAAAAAATGTTTCTCGTTGGTTTCCCGTACAGAAAGCAGTACTCCCTTATTTAATTG